AAAACTTGTTTTGGTTACTTATTGTCTCTCCCACCCATTGTTATGCAAAACCAAGCTATTCATCTCCTCATGAAGTATGAACTATCTAATTCTAATGACTCATTTTTTTCAGTCAATTTGAAGGGTGAAAAATTGAATTTTGGGTTGAGAGAGTTTAGTTTAATTACTTTGTGTCAATCAGTTTTCAGATTTTGGATACACTTCTAGTTATGTTATCAAGCTAATGAATAGCTACTTTTCCAAACAAAAAAAGAGTAGAGAAGTGGTATCTAAAAAACATAGTGACAAATAAATCTTGGGTGAATGATGAGGATGCTGTAAAGTTGTGTATTCTTTATCTTCTGGAATTTTTTGTTTGTCCTTCTGACAAAGACCATGTGTCCTTTATAGACAACTTTAAGTTTTATTTGGTAGAGTCTGGTCATTTTCAGTCATACCCATGGGGTATTAAATCCTTCAATCAGGGTATGGAATCAGTTAGACATCGTCTAAATCCCCGTGTACATTCTTATCTCATATGGGGATGCTCATTAGCCTTGCAAGTGTGGCTATATGAGTGTTTCTCGACTGTGAGCACGGAGATTGCTATGAGGTCTTCTGACTCAATACCTCGTATGTTAAGATGGTCAGCTTCTAAGGGGCAGATTTGATTAACTGCCTTTGAAGAAAGGTGATCAAGCCTGAGTGGTAAGGTATTTTTTTCAGTTTTTTGTTACTGTCTACATTTACCTACAGAATATCTACAATTATTCTACATTTTCTGCATTATTGGAACTTACTTTTTTTTTCATCATTCAGTTCACATTCATGACTGAATGTGGAGAAGAGATTGCAGTGCTTAATTTGCCAAACAAGATTGATTATGGAGCTGAGCTGGGTGCACAATCATCAGAGGTTCCAATTGTTGATTCTCCAACATTGGAACCCAAACATACAGAAGCTCAACAGGACAAGGAATCTGTGGCTAAGAAGCTAAGGAAGCTGCAAAAGGGAATTCAGCAGGTATTAATATTAACTACAATGTTTTTACATTTTATTTACATTTTCATAACAGTTTATGTAGTCTGCAGTGTAGTTAAATTGTAGTATAATTATATAATTCTACATTTTTAACTTGTAGGTTGATGAGAAGGTAGATTGTTTTAGGAAGGCTGTCTTTGAGGAACTCCATAACCTTAGAGTTTTTGTAGATGAATCTGTGAAGAATGTTGTGAAATTGATAAACAGGACATATGTTGTGGATGAGGCAAAGGTAATAGTTGACACATATTTATATACCAAAATAAATTATGTACAATACAAATAATATACTAACATTAAATCTATAGTTTGCTGGTAGTTCAACCAAAAAAATGACCAACAACAAGGATTGAACAACCAGCAATTTCATTGCAATATTGGTGCTCAAGTGCATGCATGCACAAGCAACACAGGTATCTACAAACTAGCTACAAATTAGTTTTATTATTCACATTTTACCTACAACTTCCTATTTATATCTACAACTTTCAATGCAGTATTATATAGTATTATTTACCTTTTATATTTTAAATTAAAGATGCAGTTTGTCAAGAACATGTTCCAGCACATGGGGACTTATATCTAAATTTTCAAGAAGCAGCTGAGGTTGAACATGCAGGTATAAAATCATGCTGTCATTCATAAAATGTAATTGTTGTTTATACAATTTTACATTCATGTTAAGTAATATATGTTTTATGTAACAGATATTAATAATGTCAATGTGTGTTCCCCAATTCATGGAGTGACAGTAGCAGCTGAAACAGAACAAGTCATTGAGACACATCAAAATGAAGGTGAAGATGCACTTCATGTGGATGAAGTTGTTCCTGAAGGATCAGGAATTGATAAGAAGGGTGTCACATTGGATGACTTTGAGTTGGCAGACAACTTGACACAATTGGTTATGTTTGGAGAGCCCATACCACATGAAGCAACCCCTATTCATCCGGGGAGAACCAGGTAACCGGGGAAACATGCACGATCACCTTTCATACCTCTATACAGTTCTGGAGGCAACAGCTCTATTGCACCTAAATTTTTCTACCTCAAGCACCCCTTCATAACTCTAATTGGTGAAAATGTAGATGCTGATGTGTTAGATAAGTTCAACAAGTGGTTATACCACCGTAGCGACAAAGTATCTAAGAGGTGTGAATGCTTAGTTTGATACTTTCATTTCAGCATTTTAAAGTATGAATATCTAATTTATTATGTAATTTTTTACAGTAGGAAGGCTCCCTTTTCAACAAAGGATAACCAAATCAAGCCTTGGTTAGACCTTGGAGTTGAAAAGGTGGATAAGAAGGAGTGGTTTTATTCCCTTGCTCATCCCGGACAAGTCCTCAGTAACTCTGTAAGTATCAAAGAATAAATTCACAAAATATAGTTTGGTTTTATGTTTTGTAGTGTAATTGTAGGTATATTGTAGTTAATTTGTAGTTATAGTGTAGTTCAAGCTGAACATTTACAAATATGTGCTATAGTTTGAATGTCAATGTTATTGAGACCTTATGGTAGTTGTTGTGTTAACAATTAGCAGCTAAAGTGTAGCTAATTATTAGAATATTTGAATTCTGCCTTTGTAGTTTAATATGATTCTGAATTGTAAGAAATTGTAGTTACAGTGGGGCTAATAGTATATATTATTTTATTTTGCAGCACATTGATGTTATTATGTATTACCTGAGAAAAAGAGGCAAATATGGTCCCAACAACAACAACACTAGGTTTACGACAACTGATTGCTTGTTCAAGTCAAAGATTGAACAAATATATGAGAAGTTCATAAGTTCTCCAACAGAACAAAAATATTCGGTTGATAAACCCGATGATGATGTTGCAGAATATATTCTTAGGTATAGAATTCTTGCTAATGTTGCCTGGGATGAAGTTCACTATGTCATCATGCCCGTGAATATTATAGAGAATTTCCATTGGTTGTTGGTCGTTTTCGACATAGCGGACAGGCAACTTTATGTGTACGATTCCATGGTTTCTTCACACAATCATAAGGCTGTTGAAGCATGTGTTGAGAAGTTTTCAATCATTATCCCTCTGTATTTGTCTTGCACTGGTTTCTACGGGAAGCGTAAAGACATTGACTTCAAGACCACAAAGGCATACATTGAGAAACCAGTTACAGATCCTCTCAACATACAGTGGTTGGTTGTGGAGATTCCTCAGCAAAAGGAAGGATCACTGTAAAAAACCTATTCTCTCTTTCTGGATGTTTAATTTTTTTTATAATCATTTGTTAAATAATTTAAATTTTGTGTCTTATGCAGCGATTGTGGTGTATTTGTGGCTGCTTTTGCGAAATATGATAGCCTTGGAGATTTGTCAACCCTTCAGAAGACCTTTCGGATATCGACCAACACCGTACACGCTACGGAGCTCTACTATGGGACTATGCTACAAAAAAGCAAGAAGATGGGTCAATCAGTAAGAGTTAATTTACAGAAAGGTTAGCAAGGAGGAAGGGTGCACCTGCTTTGAATGAGAAGACTAGAGTGCATAGAAAGAAGAAATAGTGTCCTGTTTTCCTAGTTTTCTTGATGCAAATTTGTAGTTGAAGGAGAATACAATACTTTATGAACAAAATTATTAAGTTTTTATTGCAGCATACATTATTGTTTTGTTATTTATGTTTCATTATTAGTTATTCACTTCAATATAAATTGGCTTGTTTACAGCACCGTATCATCTTTATATTAAACATGAGTATTTTCATGAATATAGTTATTGTATATAAATGTTGCAGCTTTTTATCATAATTTTAAGATGTTTACCTCCAAGTTCTATGTAATATTTGTATATAACTGTCTGTTGAATATAAATTATACAACAAAAATGAAGAAATAAATACTCTAATTGTAGAAATGTGTTATCCTCAATTAATCTGTAAATTGTCTAGAAGATTTTACATAAACTACAATTTATCTACATTTAACCTACATTTTGACTACAATCTGGAAACAATTTACATGGAGTTACTTTTTAGTATCAATTGTATTGTACATAATAAGTATCTAAAATATAATTACACTAATTCAAAAACTAATGTAGATGCCTGACAAGATACATAAAAGCATATTTAACACACATGAACAAATTCTAGATGAATTCATAATGATTTTTAAAAACTTAAACGATTACACTGCCAAAATCCGCTAACTTTAACCCACTAACAGTTAGTTTGAATAACCATTCTAACTACATGATATTCATTTCTTTTTGGGAGCATTCTTGCAAGATCTTTTGTTGTGCCCTTCACCTCCACAATTTCCGCATGACACCTTGTACTTCTTAGACTTTATTTCATCATGTGTTTTATATCTTTCCTTTTGAGGTCTGCCTGGCTGCCTTTTATCTCCACTCGGTGGCTTTACTACCTCATCCAAAATATGTTGTGGCACAGTCCATTTGCTTTCATCGGGAAGAGGATTTACTGGTATTTCATACGTACGCAGAAGGCTCTCCCTTGTGTAATGTGGAGAGCAATAGTTTTCGTATGTTTCATGTCTGTGCCTTAATGCAGCCAAAGCATGCGCACATGGAAGTTCTTCAAGTTGGAATTGGCCACAGCTGCATTTCTTGTTTTCTAGACACACAATGTACCGCTTTACACCATCCAACACAGTATGTATATGATATGTTGAAGCCCTCACCTACATTTTCAGAACAAACACAAATAAAAAATAGTTACAATATTAAAAATATAGTATCGACAATATTTTTATATTTTATCTATAATTTATCTACAAAGTAATTACAAACTACAGTTCAACTACATTTTGCCTACAATTTATCTACAATCTGGAGACACTGTGTATTAGAATTTTTTTTTCCCTGCACCAAGACACTATATATTAAAGAGAGCTTACCCTAAGTTTCTGAGATAATGTACTATTTTTCTCCAATTCTTTGTTGAATTTGTAACCAAGGTATATGAAGGTACCCTTAGCCTTCAATAACTTCTATTTCGTCCAAGTTTCAAGAAGCGTCCTCATATACTCTAATAGGTCAAATATTGGCAGCTCTCTTGCATATTTTGTTACAGCATTCAATGATTCTGCAATGTTTGATGTCATAGTCCAAGTTCTATTTACCGTTGCATGTACTCTTGACCATCTATGATAGCCAATATCATAGAGGTATGATTTAACACGAGGGTCTATCTCTTCAATCTTCGACATCCTTTCATTAAATTCATCCAGAGTGTATGCCCCTGCTGTAGCAAAGTACAATTCATGTAATTGTAGATGACCCTTCTTGAATTTTGACCTTATATTTGTCCAAATATGCCACATACAAGAGTAGTGTGGCATGCCCGGATAGACAATTGATGTTGCCTTCATTATACTCTCATTTCTATCTGAAACAACACACATTGAAGGTCTTTCACCATATGCCTGCTTGAATTGCTCAAAGAACCACTTCCAAGATGCATCATTTTCAGAATCAACCACAGCATATGCCAAGGGCAATATTGTACCTACATTCAAAATTCATAAAATTTTAAATGGCAGATTTGCAGATGTAAATAAAAATATGAATACACAACAACTACAATTTACCTTCAAATATAGATAAGTTATCTACATTTTATTTGTACTGCCTACAAAATAACTACAAACTTTCTACAATGTATCCACATTTTATAAACTGCCTACAAAATAATTACTAAAATTTTACACTTTTTACCTGCTGCATCCATGGTGCTTGCAGTCAGCATAATCCCCCTGTAGGCTGACTTTAAGAATGTCCCATCAACAACTACTGCTGGCCTACAATGTTGCCAACCACTTATTGATGTAGAAAGAGCAACAAATGCGCACAAGAAGCATTCATCTGCTGTCTTCTTCAATTTAACATGAGAACCAGGATAAGTCTCCTCAAGAATATAAAAATATTTGGATAATTTGCTGTAGGAGTCAGCCGGATTCCCTCTCAAAAATTGTAAAGCCTTTTCCTTTGTTCTCCATGCTTGCATGTAGCTTAGGTTCACTCCGTGTTCTGCTAACATGCCAGTCTGTATGTCCTTTGGTGTGTACACAGTTTTTGGATCACAATACTTTGGAATGACCATGCTACCAACTACAGCTGCAGTACGTTTGCGTTGTATAAATATTTCGTCAATTAAGGAGCATGTGTATTGTCGGTTGAAACTCCTTATCTTGAACATTGCGGAATCATTAATTGATGTTGCCTTGAAGTGCCATTTACAGTTTTCACCAACGCATACAAGCCAGTAGCTGCAAAAAAAAAAACAAATTATAATTGTAGGTGCAACAGAAGGATTGTTTTAAGGGAAAATAACATAAACTACAATTTAACTACATTCTAACTACAATTTATCTACAATATTAAAAACCCCATTTTTTGAACAATGCACTGCTTAGAATCAGATTTTCTCTATACCTTCTATGACTAGATCTTTTAACTTTGAACTGAAACTTGTGCACCACAGAAAAGTGCTTCATTGCAGCAGCTACAGTTTGTTTGTCATGATACACTTGTCCTTCTTCAATATCGGTTTGCGTATATTCTTTTATTATTTCACTTTGATATTCCTCTATATCTGGAGAGGATGGCATATCAAGTAACTTTAGCGATCCAGATGAACCTGCATCAAAATAGAGATAAACAGTGTCATTATAAATTTGTAGAATCTTTGTAGATAATTTGTAGATATCTACAAAAATTTGTAGTCATCTATTTTAAGATGTCAGACATTGTAGTTACACTGTAGTTAAATTGTTGCACTTTGTAGATTGCTCTGAAAACAATACTGCTTGCCTCTTTCTTTATGAGAAATTGTAGTCAAATTGTAGATATATGTAGTAAATTTGTAGATAATATCATAAAACTAAAATTCTAAGCATTTTTCGAACTACACAAACCTGCACTTGTGTTATCATTGGTGATTGCCAATTCCATATTGAAATCTCGTACACTTATACATAGCGGATATGAACCTAAGTTTTTATTCTCCTTTTTGGTCTCCATATACACACGAACCCCCATATCATTCCTAATCTCCATTGGGGGACAATTGTCGTTCACGATGTATTTGATTTCTACAATTTTTTCAGTAGTATCAATTGATAGTTGTTCTGCAATTGTAGAGATCAGAGTACTGTAGCTTGCATTCTCATCTACCACAATGGCATCCACTTCAAAATCTCTAAATCTGCCATAGTTATCCCAATTGCCATTAAATTGTAGCATAATTATGATTTTGGACATGATTATTGTTGATGCTTTTTTTTGATTTCTAGATTGAAAGAAGAAAAGATGAAGAAGAGATAGATCTGATCGACAATTTGATAGAAGACGAAGAACATATTTTTTCAACTTTGAGTTGTTGAAACTCGAAAATTTTGAATTCTACAATTTGAATTCAAATCTTAGAAGCTGTTAGTAGTTGAATATCTTCGTAGTTTTTGTAGCTTTTAGTAGTTGATTATCTGTTCGTTCTTTTTTTTTTTTCAGAATTTGAATTGTAGTTCTGGAGGAAAAAGCGCAGATGTGAAATCTCCTTTCCCTTTTTAAAAATTGAATTTAATGTAGAATCAATTATCACCAAGAATCTCTCCTTAATTTTAGCGCGCTTTTTAGGGAATATTCTGATCCTTTAATGCCTAATAGTCGAATGGTACAAATTTTCTAGGTAAAATGTGGACTGGGCGGGTAATATACAAAATATGCACATTTTTGATAATAAACTTTCATATATATGGTATAGGAAGGAAAAAATACCTTTAAAGAACATGTATATATCCAAACACGTGAAGGTAAAGAAAATCTGCTTGGATCAATTCTCGATTCAATTCTTATAAAGATCTTTTCTAACAGACACTTAATTCCTTTTAAAATATAAGCTTAAACTAGTTTAAATTCGTGAACCCCCTTGTATCTCTAATATCTTTCTTTACAAACACTTCAATACCCAGTATCCAATTCTCCAGTCTATCCAATAAATTTCACCATTTTTCACTAAATATTTAACAATGAAAATAATAGCTAACGAAGTGAATTATTCAAGAACTATAAGACTGAAGGAACGATAGCAGAATCAATAAGGGTAAACAATGGAGATTTTCACTTTTCTCCCAAAGAGGAATAAAGCATAAAGAGTGGATCAATAATGAAAAGAAAAAAAAAATTAGGAATGAAAAGAGAAACAAAACAACCTGAAATTGCTTCTTGATTAATGAACAAAAATCCGGCAGCTACACAAGCAGAGACGCAACAATATTTACGGCCGGAACTCAAACAAGACAGAACCTCGAACGTGAACCTCAAACCGGCGATTTCGGATTTGCAAACGGGTAGCTCAAAACCCAAACTCGAATTTGAAATAAAATGCTTCGAATATTTTAGATATATTGGACTGTTCTTGATTGTCTTGTAGTCTAGGGATCTATATTTTTGCCCTTTTCAACTGATCTTCGTTCATTTTTATTTTTTTTTGTGTATATGTCTTCAATGCTTTTCAATGAAACGATTAGGGAGGGTCAAGGACTTAGAGGGTTTCTATAATTGAGTATTTTATATGGAGGTGGGAAGTGATGTTGGCCATTGGATTAGAATGAAAATAGATGGCTAGGATTAAATCTTGCACTTAAGTGGGCTAATGGGTTGGGAAGAATGAGCTAAGGGTAATTGGGTTGTACCATGTTTTTTTGGTTGTTTTTTTTTATTTCTTTTCTTTTATTAAAAGGATGAATTAAAAATAGCTTTATAAGGATACTAGTATATTTAAGATAATAAAAATGTTTAGAGAAGANTCTACGTACACTTATACATAGACGGATATAGTAACCTAAGGTTTTTACTTCTACCTTTTTTCGTCTACCATATACACACGAACCCCCATATCATTTCCAATTCTACCGATTGGGGGACAATTGTCGTTCACGATGTATTTGATTTCTTACAAGTTTTTTCAGTAGTATCAATTGATAGTTGTTCTGCAATTGTAGAGATCAGAGTACTGTAGCTTGCATTCTCATCTATCACAATGGCATCCACTTCAAAATCTCTAAATCTGCCATAGTTATCCCAATTGCCATTAAATTGTAGCATAATTGCGATTTTGGACATGATTTGTTGTTGATGTTGATGCTTTTTTTTTTTATTTCTAGATTGAAAGAAGAAAAGATGAAGAAGAGATAGATCTGATCGACAATTTGATAGAAGCAACGACGAAGAACAGATTTTTTCAACTTTGAGTTGTTGAAACTCGAAAATTTTGAATTCTACAATTTGAATTCAAATCTTAGAAGCTGTTAGTAGTTGAATATCTTCGTAGTTTTTGTAGCTTTTAGTAGTTGATTATCTGTTCGTTCTTTTTTTTTTCCAGAATTTGAATTGTAGTTGTGGAGAAAAAAACGCAGATGTGAAATCTCCTTTCCCTTTTTAAAAATTAAATTTAATGTAGAACCAATTATCGCCAAGAATCTCTCCTTAATTTTAGTGCGCTTTTTAGGGAATATTCTGATCCTTTAATGCCTAATAGTCGAATGGTACAAATTTTGTATGGTATAGGAAGGAAAAAATCCCTATTGGTTAATCCCCATAAGGCCTCGAATTTGAGAAAGCTCCTCTACGGTACCCAATTGTGACATGCTTTATTTTTAGGAAAAATTCCAGTTATGTCTATTTATCAGTAGCTTATATAAAAATTGGCCAATTTATAAAATATTACTAATAGCTATTTGTAGCCGAAAAAGGTCAAATTTTTGCTTTCTTTTGAGTGAGTGTTATTAGAATAGATTGGGTACATCTCAAGGAGCTTGAATCTCAGTTTTGGGATGATTTGGTGGAGTTTTGAGGTAGTTTGAATTGAAAATTCGAAGTAGAAGATGAACATGAAAAAAATAATAGGTGTATCATTTGTGTATCACATATTTATCATATTTGTATCAAATGTATATCACATGTATACCCGCGTATGAGATACATGCGTGATACATGTTTGATACATATGCGGCATAAGATTTTTTTGAACTCGATTTTTTAACTACGAATTTTGATACCAAATCAGTCCAAATCACCTCCAATCTTCCTCAAATTTTGTATATTGACTCATCTATATGTTTTCAATGAATCTCAACCATACCCATTCAAAAAATAAAAAAAATCCTTTTTTGCTTAAATTTTTGGAATCTTGTATGTATATATTTTTTGTATTTCATCACCTTATTTGTTACTTCATCCATGAAATTTTTCTTCCGTCTTGCATATAATATTGCTAATCACGCTTTTAAAATATGAAAGGAGATCTATGTGTGTGATTCTTGGAGAAAAAGAACCTTATTTCTTTGGGTTTTCACTTTTTATATGTGCTTGGCTAGTTTTGATAAGTTTATGATTAATGGCTAGAGGTTGGTAAGTTTGGACTTTTTGGGGACATTTCTGTAAGATTCCCTTATTTTTATCCTGGTTTTGGTAAATAAGTAATCACTTCAATTAAATTATTCAAAACAGTAAAATAGAAATTGTCATACGATGAGTAGTAATACATAAATAATTATTATGCAAGAAATATCTACTTTAAGATGCCATTTGGTAAAGATATTAAAAAATTCGGTATAAAATTATGTACAACGAATTCAACGTTTAGTTTTTAGTACAAAACTTTGTAAACTAATGCAGCGTTAGACTTTATATTGCGAGTACTGGCATAGTTTATGCTAAGATTACGTATTATTTTAGGCAAATAGAATGTAAGGGTATGTTTCTCTTAAGATATTGCTCTTAGCTAAGCGCTAATGTCATATATTTTTATTCCAAAATTTTCTCTCAAAAAAAAAAATACTACACAAATTTTCGCATCAATTATTGTTATCTCAGTAATGCAAAATAGTTATTTAGGGTTTTAAACCAAAAATGTTGTATTATATCTTTAATTATGATTAATTAATTACGCAGAATTTAAGAAGCGCACGGTATACCTTTCCAGCCAAGCATAGACTAACAATTTTGGACTCGAAAGAGAAAACCAGTCAAAACCAATAATTAGCAATTATATAGCATGACATTAATTCCTCATATCACAAGTCATTCTAACAACTATTCTTTTAACCAAACAATATCTCATAATAATCCCTAAGTAACACACCATACTAGTGGGCGATGACCTGTTATCTCGTCTCTGGATTAACATCCAATTCTTTAATCATTAAAACTAACACGAATTATTAGGGTTTTTGATGCACGTCCTTATCTCCATTTTGTTGTCTCTTTATTTAGTTGAAACTCAAAAGAGGAAAGAAAACCAATTTTGAAGTTTCTATGTGTTACCACTAAAACCTCTTTTTAACTTAGCACTAAGCCATGCATGCTAACGACGCGAGGGACATTAATTCGCAGGGCCCTCCGCTACAATTCTCAACCCAAACATGGATTAGGTGAATTATTATTTTTGTCACTTTTTTCCTTTATTCTTCTTTCTTTCTTACAAAAAGAGATAAAGGTTTGTCCATAGTGCCCACCAATATTTCTACTAATGCTTGATTTATGATTAATATAGACTTCTTAATTAACATCTTAGTCCTATTGGTGTCTAGTTTTTCTCTTCTTTTGGAAACCACAAAAAAAAAAGTGTTACAAAGTGATCCAAAAGTGGATAAGTGTTGTAAACGACTATCTAAGCATATACTTTTAAAGTAGTACTGGGATCGTGTTGGAAATCATTTTGATTTCTATAATAAATTTAAGAATATGATTATGGGGAGTGTCTATATATAGATATAGATTTGAACATTAAGATATTATATTTAAATCTGAATACTGAATGATTAGAATTGTTTATTTTCTTAGATATTTATATTTTATTTTTATTAGAAAGTAATGCTTCGGAGGGGTATTCAATTATCCCCTCCATTCGAAAATTACACCATGAATAAGGTGACAGTATTTTTTTAATGCATGTATAACTTTTGAATCCACTTGAAATTTAAAAAAAATTATAGTGACAAAAATGGTTTCAAAGTAGTAGATTAAAATTTAAATCCTTATTAAAATCCCTTATTCCAGCGGTTGAATAGATTGAAAGAATTTCTAGTGCCTACTTTTCAGTACAAGATTGGAAAGAAGAAATCACGTTAAACTCCATGAAAAGAAACACAAAAACAGAAAAGGAAAATGATAATTTCAAGAAGAGTCCCACATACTTGGAAAATTTTTGTTTGAAGAGGAGATGGAAGGGACCCATGATTAATTATACTTCTATTGTGTAACTGTCATTGATCAGAAGCTAGAGTTGTGCGGCTCCTTTTTAATGATAATCTCGGAAAAATAAAAGAATATTCATTATTGAAAATTTTACCTCCTATAATAAAGTTTTACACTCTATTTATTATAGCAAAAACTCTTTTAAAATATTATTTTCTATAGCTACCTTTTAGTTTTTATATTAAAATATGTATTTATGGTCACTTCTTACCGTTAAGTCATTAAATACGCTGTCTAATATTTTTCTCTCATTCTTTCAGTTTATTCTCTCCCAAAATCACTGCATAGTATCTTATCTCTACACAATCTCTCTCCCACAGCGTCATTGTCTTCCCCATTGTTGAACCACGATTCTCTTTTATTTGCAGGTTTTCTCTCTAGATTGTTCTCAAACCCTAGAGTAGATTTTTTAAATTTCATCTCTATTAACATGAGTTTCAAATTTCATAATCAAAGTTTCTGATATGAGTTGTATCTTTTCCATGATCCCAAAGTGGAGCGGACATGGCCTGTTCATAGCTGAATTGATTTTGAATGTTGACATGGAAGAGGAAAGGACAGAGGAGAGGGGTGACAGCCACTAATGAGATTAGGATTAGGTTTGGGATTTTTAATTTGTACATTGGTTTTCTCTTCTTGTATTTAGATGTATTTATATGTATTCGATAAGACATACATATTTATACAGTGGTTTTCTCTACTTGTATTTAGATATATTTATATATATTCGATAAGGCATACATTGATTTTTATTTTGTATAGTGATTTTTGACTGTTGTATTATTAGATGTATTTATATGTATTTGAGTTCATACAACAATATTTTTAAATACATTGTTAGTTCTATCATTTTGATGCTATTCATCAATTGGTTATGCATTCAATCTAGTTGTATTCATCTGTATTTTCATCCTAACTTTATCCATATGTATTTAAAACAACAATACAATAAAATACCGTGAAATACTCTCAATACAAGTAGAAAACCAATGAATACAACCAATTGAAATATACTCAATAAAGCAGTAATACTGTGATGACCCAAAAGGTCATAACTTGTTTTTAAATTAAATTCTGCTTTTCGAGGCCTTAAAAACCTCTTTTAGCATCACCTCGATTGCATGCGCAGTCCGGGCGCGTAGCCGGAAAGCCTATATGTGAAAATCTGTAAAAAAAATAATAAATTTTGACTATAAAATGAATTAGTTTGACTTTAGTCAACGTTTTGGGTAAACGGATTCGGGCCCTACGCGAACGCAACCACCTGGACGTGAACGCGAAGGCTCGAGGAGTTAGTGCCCCGCGAACGCGAGCCCACTTCCGCGAACGCGAAGGTCTCTCAGGCCTAGCTCATCGCGAACGCGATGAGACTATCGCGAACGCATAGACCAAATTTGCCCAGTTATTTTTAAGTTCAAAAAAACAGAATGTATTACGGGGATTCCACCATTTTTCATAAACTTCATCTTCTCCACACCTTTTGGGCGATTTTTGAAGAGGAACTTCACCATAGCTTCATAGGTATGTAATTCTAAGCTCGTTTTCTTCCCTTTTTATCAACACCCACTAGATTTCTAGGCCTAAAACATGAAATTAAGGGTAGAAAATTAGGGATTCGGGTAGAGTTAGGGCTTTTTGATTATTTGGGAATTTGACCTCGTTTTGGGGTCGGATTTCTGATAACTGTGATTTTAACACGTTTTATGCCCATACTTGCCTATGCTTTATGTATGAATTGTCATAAAATAGACCCAGAATGCTTACAAAGTGCGCTTGATTGCAGGTTTGAGCGACAAGATGACAAAAGTCAAAAATCGGCTCGAAACGGAGTGAAACCTGCTCAAGTG